TACCCTTCCCAGAGACTCCAATACCCCTTAATTATGGAATACACTTTAAATTATAGTAGGATCCCTAATATGATTTAAGGTATATTCCTTAATTAAGGGGTATTGGAGTCCCTGGGTTGAAGCTCCGAACTCCTATAGACCCGAAGCTCCTGCACCCAGCCGTGGCGGAGGCGCCAGCTCTTCCAGCCTACTGCACTGGATGCAGTCGACTTTTGCAGACCAGGACCGGCCACTGTACGGTATGGGAGGTCGGAATACTTAGGGAGATTATCGTCCCGAACAGCATAATGTGCTCCAAGACCCTCTTCTGGGTAGTCGTGCCCCTGCCCCCACGGCACTGTCTGGAGACTCTCTGTTTGGTGTGGGCAGTGGCGCTTGACATCCGGTTCTAATCATTTTCGGCCACTGTAGGACTCTTTGGGAGAGATTTAGCATTTGGGGTAGGGCTTACTTCTAACGAGTACCCTACCAATATAAGGGCACCTGTAAATTCTCTTTGGGAAAGAACGGGGCGGCCCTAAACCCTAAACCCTGAACCCTAAACCCTGGCTCGTAGCCGGAGCCTTTGTGAGCCGAACCGAAGGAGCTCTACAAGCGTCTGCACCTCGCCATGGAGCATGCCGAGAAGGCACGGTTTAGGGTTTAGGGTTTAGGATTTAGGGTTTAGGGTTTAGGAAAGTCTGGGACCCTAAACCCTAGAGTCTTATGAAGCCCTGAATGAGCCCTTCTGAAGCCCTAAATCCTCAACCCCAAACCGCAAACCCTAGACCCTAAACGCTTATGAAACCCTGAACTCCCCCCCCCCCCCGCACAGGGGTTCTCGCTTCAAACCGCTTTCCCCCTCTCTCTCCAGGTGCTGACAGGATCCGGCCAGGATGATTGGGTGCTCGAGAAGGCCCACCCACGGTGTAGGGCTTTTGGAGGATTTGGAGGATGTAGGGTTCAGGGCTTAAGGTTCAGGGTTGAGGAAGGGTTTGGGGTTTCAGGGTTGAGGCTTCAGGGTTTAAGGTTCAGGGTCGAGGGTTTTAGGGTTTTAAGATTCTGGTTACAGGGTTTGAGGTCTAGGGCAGAGTCTAGGGTCTCGGGTCCTGGGGGTTTTGGGGGTTTTTGGGGGCCCAGAGACTCCAATACCCCTTAATTAAGGAATATTCCTTAAATTATAGTAGGATCCCTAACAAGATTTAAGGTATATTCCTTAATTAAGGGGTATTTGGAGTTCAGAGGGGCCAGTCTTGCCAAGCGCAGTTCGAAGCTTCCTTTGGAAGCTTCGTCTAAACTGCCCGGGAACCTGCAGCAGAGGGTGATGTGCTGGTTCAGATCGAAAGCCTTCAAATCCACCTTTCGGTTAGGATCTGCCAGGTTTTGGGATGTAGGGTTTTGGGTTTGCGTTTTGGGTTTGGGTTTTGGGGCTTAGGGATCAGGGATTAGGGTTTCCGCTTGTGCGCTATTCGACGGCTTGATTCCCCTGAGCTTGGCAGCCTGAACAAGATAGATCCCTAAAACCTAAACCCTAAACCCCACAACCTAAACCCCACACCCTCAACCCTAAACCCTAAACCCTAAGCCCTAAAACCTGAAACCTAAACCCAAAACCCTGACCCTAAACCTAAAACCTAAACCCTAAAACCTTCAACCCCAAACCCTAAACCGTAAAACCTAAAGCCTAAAGCCTAAACCTTAAAACCTAAGCCTTAAACCCGACCTTAACTGCTAGGTGGAAAAAGGTGCTCCAAAAAAACCTAAACCCTAAACCCTCAACCCTCAACCCTAAACCCTAAAACCCTCAACCCTAAACCCTAAACCGTAAAACCTAAAACCTAAACCCTAAACCCTAAACCTTAAAACCTAAACCCTCAACCGCAAACCCTAAACCCTAAAACCGAAACCCTGAACCCTAAAACCCTAAACCCTAAACCCTAAAACCTTACGCTCCTCGACTTTTAGCCCTTCTGCCCTTCTCCGAGCTCAGGCCAGGACCATCAGGTTGGAGTCGGAGCGGCAAGCGGTTTCTCGTCCTTCGGGTTTAGGGGCTTTGGGTTTAGGGCTTTGGGTTTGTCAAAGGATTTTAGTGGGAACCCTTAGGCAAGAACCCTTATTTGAGCATTCTGGCACACCTGTAGCCCAGTTTGGGGTTTAGGGCTTGGGTTTGGGGTTTAGGGCTTTGGGTTTGGGTCTGGGGTTTAGGGCTTTGGATTTTGGGTTTAGCGCTTTGGGTTTGGGGTTTAGGGGGTTCAGGGCTTTGGGTTTGGGGTTTGGGGCTTTGGGTTTGGGTCTGGGGTTTAGGGCTTTGGGTTTGTGGTTTAGGGCTTTGGGTTTGGGGTTTAGGGTTTGGGGTTTGGGGTTTAGGGCTTTGGGTTTGGGGTTTAGGTCTTAGGGTTTGGGGTGTAGGGCTTTGGGCTTAGGGCTGGTACTTGTTTCTGGGTTTCACAAGGGTTTCGGGTGGAGGGTTTCATAGGGGTTTGCCGTAGGGGTTTAGCGGCTTCTGAAACCTCTGGGTTTCATAATTGGGGTTTGAACAAAACTGGTGTTCTGATGGGTTTCCGAGGCGTGCCCGGGAGTGGCGCATGGCTTTCTGCTTCTAACCCCACGGACATACGGCAATCTAAATCTAGGTGATCATGTCTCCGGCCATTCTTCATAGCAGGGTCTATGCACCCTTACGGGACGATTCTGGAGCACTACCGAAGCACGGGGTTGAAAGGGCGAGTCGTGCGGGCCGAGATCTCTGCTACAATCTCCGGCCCATTGAGCGCGATGGCCCAAAGCCAAACCCATCTAACCCTGAACCCTCAACCCTTATCATCGCTGAGCCCTAAACTCCTATACCCTGAGCTCAAAACCCAATCTTCTCCCAGGCTGTTCTACGAGGAGCAGCAGCGTCCACCGCCCTCCTGGCGCTGCGGCAGGGGCTGCTTAGACCTTAACGGAGTGTGTCCAAATATACAGGGAGCCCTTAACCACAGCCCCATTTGCGGATAATGTCGGGGCCTAAATATTTATGAATACCATTTTGGGGTTCATTAGTATAATTCCAGTATCATGGGCCCAAAACCCTATTCTACTTATTAAGGCACCTATATTGAGATCTCGGGTCGGAGGTCGACCCTGAACCCAAGTTTCCGAACACCCCAGCGCGAATCTGGGTCATGAGCTTCCACTTTGGCTTGACCTGCAGTGTGCCGAAATCGGTCAACTTACGCTACCCGTCTTCAAACTGAGTGGGACGCAATGGATACAGCACAAAACCGTTCTTTAGGTGGGATTCATTGGATGGTCGTTCGAGTTTCAACGACTGCTGCTGCTGCTGCTGCTGCTGCTGCTGCTCCTCTTGGTACCACTGCCACTGCCGCGCCACTGCTACTGCTTGGATTGGTACCGTCATGATAGACCGTGGTGGCGGCGGAGATGGTGGTGGTGGTGGTGGTGGTGGTGCGGAAGGTAGCAGGTAGTAGCAGTGGCAGCAGCAGCGGCAGCCGCAGCAGTAGCAGTAACAGTAGCCATAGCAGTTGTAGTAGAGGCGGTGGGAGTAGTAGTAGTAGTAGTAGTAGTAGTAGTAGTAGTAGTAGTAGTTCCGACATTGCAGGAAGCAGCACATACAGTCGGTTGGAACGGTGAGATGGTCATTCCAGTTTCAATGACTTTTGCTTCTGCTCCTCCTACTCTGCTGTTTCTGCCACTGCTTGGGATTGGTGCTGAGTTACCGTGGTGTCTGTGGTCGTTTTGGTAGTGCTGGCGGCTGTGGCGGTGCTGGTAGTGGTGGTGGTGGTCGTCGCCGTCGTGGTAGTAGAACTAGGAGACGAACAAGGAGTCTGTTTTTTTCAACTTTCTGCACCTTCTGGCCCACCGTAAAAATCCTGAGTCTCAGGCTCCTAGCCCAGAAACGGCCGCCCTGGTCAGCAGAAGCAGGCTGCTGTCCGTTTAGGATTTATGGTTTAGGTTGGTTGAGTTTGTTTCTGTTTGGTTTGCTGCCGCTTCTGGTTTGCTTCTTCTGCACTTGGTATCACGTTTTGTAGCAATGTGGTTTGCTTATACAAGTCTTGTGGCCTCCCCCATGTGTCGCTCTTATGAGTAGCACCGGGCTGAGTTTCAGGCAGCTTGCCAGGAGGATTTAGGATTTAGGGTTTAAGGA